TAATAATCATTATAAATAAAAGTTAAGACATCCCAGTGGATCAATAAAATACAAGAAATTAAAATGACATAATACTACACTATATACATAGACACAATATAGAGTACAGACAAACTATCAGTAAAGGTTCAGGTACCTAAATGAATGGAGTCTCCATATATTCCTGAGTTGAATAAAAGGCTTTTTCAATAATTTCTGTTCTGCCAGAAAGAGGTCAATGATAAAATTATCAGTCATTTATTTTTGCATCACTGATATGGATAAAATAAAAAAAAAGTTTCTCACAATCCTTTGTTCGGAAATATAAATGAAATTACCCTAGGACTCATTTTGACTAATATAATAAATAAAATACTCACAATTTAAATAAATCACAATTATGGACGATACTCAGTCAGGAAATCTGAAAAAATCTGGGTTTTTCACAATTCTTTGTAAGGAAGTATAAATGGAATTATTCTTGAGGCACATTCGGATATAATAAATAAAATAATTACAAATAAAATAAGTCTAAATTATTGACAATAATCAGTTAGGAATTATGAATAAAAATTGCCAATATTAGAATATATCATCAATAATTCTATGATGAATTCAACTATACTATTGAGATGTGAATCCCAATAATTCACGAGCGCAAAATCAGTTTCTTGAGATTATTGAGTGGAAATCTAACTAGGAAAGATTCCTCATATTTTTCTTGTGTTTGCCTGGAATTATGTAATAGTCTTCTTCATTCTGTAAAATTATGTAATTCCTTTTCTCCGCACTTAGTTTCCAAAGCTCTGCAGAAAATTTATTTCCTTCCCTCTGAAGTCTTATTTTTGTGTTACTGATATGATTCAAAATGTTACAAGATGATAATTTCTTGAAAACGTTCATTATATTTTTTTTTGTGTTTGCATTGCATCAAAATGCCATTTTCTTCTATCTGGAAAACGATATCGTACACATTTTGTGCTATCTTGTGCTCTGTAGATAGTTTCTGTTCTTTCCGACAGAGGCAAATGATATAATTATGATACTAGTATTACTAGTCGCCAAAAACTCTTTTCGTTTAGGAGAGAATACATTTTTCGATCTTCAAATAATACCTATAGTGCCCATTTTTCGCATTCTACATGTCTAATATTTAATTGTCACGAAATTCACCGTGAATTCATGATTTGACTAGGTCCCTACTCATTAATTCAACCATAAGTAGGGTTAGGACTATGAAATTCATTCTACTGCATCAAATCACTGAAATTCTTTTAATTAAATAAACTCGTTATGAAAAGAGGCTGTAAAAGGTGTCAAACGCTACCAGGCACATCATTAGTGCAAAGACACACAGCTTATACATATAAGATATTATCTTTCAACGTAGAAGATACTGCTCATCAATCTTCCAAATTGAACGTCGCAAACAAATACAAATACTGTATTGATCACTGGAAACTTTTGTACAGATTATGGGAATATAAAATATACGAAAAGCTCATCGGTCTAGCCAAATTAAAAATATACAATTAAAATAAGTAGGTAGTACAACAGTTATTTATTGACATATAAATCACTAGTTAATACAATTGACATAATTCATTATAGTTATCTAAAATCACTCACATTCCTTACCATACAATTTCACTTTACACTCATTTTTGTCTCTTGCAGGACTAATTTCTTATAGGCTGATGAAGGACATTTGTATGTCCGAAAATATGTTCCCCCTGTCGTGGATTTTGAGTTTTATTTAGTTATTACAACTACACTCCACTTTGAGAAATGTTGGATTTATTATGAAAATGTTGAACAATGCCCTTTCCGAAACGTTCCAAACAAAAATGACGTTGCAACAAATTGTATTGAACAAGTCGAAGCCCTGAGGGGGCAGGAGGACGATCTAGCCTTCATAGCCATCTAGTGGCTTAGATGCAAAGATGTATAGGTAGATTCATCAATCATACCTTGCGAGTAAGTCGTGCATAAAGACCCCTACGTCTATATGCTTACAGAAAAGACATCCATGTCAGATTCTGTAGACTATCGCAACACCTTTAATTCTCAAAGTGGTTTAATTTATTTATTTATTTATTTATTTTACTTAAGTACACTACAGAATTCGATAAAAATTCCAAATGGTACAGTATAGAAGACTATGACTATACTAACGAGCAAACAAACAAAACAAAACATCAAAAACAAATAAAAACTAAAATACTAAAGTATATGTGTACAAGTATATTATATATATAAAACGAGATAAACATATAGGTACATATTGGGAAAGAGGATACAAAGTAATTACTTTGTCAGACATTTAGGTAGTATTAGTGAAGTGGGATTTGAGTTGTTTCATGAATACTTGATTAGAGACATTGAATATATTTATTGATGAGTAGTGGAGATTGTAGTTTTCTTGAAGTCTACAACAGAAAGCAGTACGACCATAATTAGTACGGTGGGTTTTCACGTAGAAAGTGTGACAGGTTCTCGTAGCCCTAGGATTGGCGTGAAATGATAATTTTTCCAATATTTCAGGGCAGTTTATAATACCATTTACAATTTTGAATAAAAAAGTTTGTCATGGCAATAATTCGTCTATCTTCTAAAGTTTGAAGATTCAACAATGAAATTCTAGTTAGAGGGCCGAGATCATGGAAGGAATGTTCCACTAACAGATGGTGATAAACTTAAAATCTCAAGACTAAGAGATTCTAGGGAAATTTCGTGAATCGATTGTCAGCTGATGCAAGACAGACTGTTTCGACTTGCCATAATTCAGCTGACAATCGATTCACGAAATTTCCCTAGAATCTCTTAGTCTTGAGATTCTAGGTTTATCACCATCTGTTAGTGGAACAATAAACCACTTTGAGAATTACAGGTGTTGCGATAGTCTACAGAATCTGACATGGATGTCTTTTCTGTAAGCATATAGACGTAGGGGTCTTTATGCACGACTTACTCGCGAGGTATGATTGATGAATCTACCTATACCTATACACCTTTGCACTTAAGCCACTAGATGGCTATGAAGGCTAGATCATTCTTCTGCCCCTTCAGGGCTTCGACTTGTTTGATATATGGAGGTACCCTTCGTGAATCGATTGTCAGCTGACCAGTGCAACTGATGAGACTTATGGCAAGTCGAAACAGTCTGTCTTGCATCAGCTGACAATCGGCTGACGAAATTTCCCTTGAATCTCTTAGTCTTGAGATTCTAGGTTTATTATCAAATTGTATTGACTTTATACAACTTGTTCATTATTATCAAATTTGTGTGTCGTTGAGTAAGCAATAACTATTATCAACGAATAACGTTACAACACATAACACAAGTATGAAATACAAACTAATCAATTCACGTCAAAAGTGTACTCAAACATCAGCCAACTTGACACTTACAACGATTTGGTATTTCAAACTCAAAGGGAATGTAAAGACTGCTTTATATTCTTATTATTATTATTATTATTATCAAGAATGCATTAGAAGAGCCGAGAAATGATCACCATGCTCTAGCTAAAGAAATAATTAGACGCGGATAAAGAAAATTCAACTTTTCCATTTTCTGCTATGTTTAACCGTTGAAATGTAGATATGTGGCCACGTTAGGTTTGTTTAAAACAAAGGTATGAACAATGTCTGGTAGCGGCATTTCCATGAAGTCTACCAATTTACTTGGTAGATCCATCATTAAAATACCTACTCGTTCATGGAAAAATCATGTCAGAATAAGCGAGATCCTGAATGGTCTAAGATTAACCCATGTATGGGATTTTGAATTGACTCGTTACTTGATGGAAATCCATGATAAATGTAAAAACTTCACAAACGATAAGATTTCCACAAACATTTTTTTTTCAAACACACGACATGTTTCGCTAACACAGTAGCTTCGCCAGGTGATATACTGGTACAATGAACTAAACTAACGTTGGCTTGCTTAACTGTTATATATCTTATTTTCCCATTCTGAAGGATTAGTTACCTGTGGACAGGTACGATAAACCTCCATTTTCGGAAATTAGGCACAATATCTACATTAAATTACGGTATACCGGATTCTTGAAAGAGTTGATATCAAATACATATTATTACTTACTAAGAAAACGAATTCAACAGTGGTGAACTATCAAGGTCTAATTGATCATCAAGCAGAATTTCAAAATTTTTGAGTTTGTTGATTTCTAATGATTCAAAATGATTGAGTTTCAGTCCTTTATTTTCTACGTGCAGAATTTCGAAATTATCTTCAAAACTATGGTTTTCTTCTAATATATGGTTGGCGTATGCTGAATTTGTTTTCTTTTTCATAAAATTCATCTTATGTTCATGAATGCGCTGATTAAACGTACGACTTGTCTGACCGATATATACCTTAGGACAAGATCCACATTTGAGTTTGTATACCCCAGATTTTTCGAATTTAGAAGTTTTGTCTTTATTATTCTTGATAAACCGTCACAAGGTGTTATTTGTTCTTGATTATTATTCTTGATGGTAGGATAAACTTCTTGAAGAGCTTTATGATGAAGTTTTTTAGAAAGAATACTGTCTATCAAATTAACGTTGTATCCGTTGTTGACTGCAATCTGGTTTATGATATTGAGTTCTTTATTGAAATTTACTTCCTGCAATTTTATGTTGATAAGGGTGTGCCGAATTATTATGAATAGTGATATCAGCGTGGGAAGGTTTATGGAAAATTGAAAAATCATGTTTATCCTTAATTTTACTTATTGTCAAATCTAAGAAATTGATTGAATTTTCAGTCTCTATTTCTATTGTGAATTCAATGTTTGGATGAATAGTATTTATATATTGATGGAAAGTGTCTAATTGTCTATTGGGATGCCCCATTTATATACCATTCACATTCCCCAAAACAGAATAACTAACATTCTTGAGTAGGTAACAACTAATTTGTTAATCAACTAATATTATGATAATGATGATTCGAAATATTAACAAAGTGAATACAGTTCTTTCTGCTGCAATATTTCCTATTTCAGGGTTTTTTCTTGACTGTCAGTCCACCTTCGCAAATGGAAATTGCGAAAGTTGCATTGGCTAATGATCGTCCATTCATAATGAACTTGAGTGCCCCATTCATCTGTCAAATGTATATCAAAGAGATAATGCAGGGTATGCCGTATGTAGATATGATTTTCGGAAATGAAACTGTAAGTAATATTATAAAAGGAGTATACTTCAATCCAAAACATAATGAAGCTGAGTTAACCCTTTCAGTCACGACTTTTCATTTTTTCAGTTAAAAATTTTTCGTGAAATTGGGGGTTGAAGTGATTTTTTATATGATTTTTGAGAATTTTTTGAAGTCCGTACGGCCTTGATTTTTCTAAAAAAAATCATGTTCGTTTCAACGAACATGGTGACTCTACGAGAAGGAGAGGAAATAAATAGCTACAACATTGTGGTTTATTTCATATGGTAATCCTTGAAATAATTACGATCACGAGTGATACATAGATGTACACTACATTTCATACAATTAAAATGTGTTTTTTCGAGGCAAGCTCCATTTTTGCACTTTGCTCCATCCCCACTTCCATCAAATATTGGTAAATGACCCACTTCATCGAGTCACCATGTTCGTTCTAACGTACATATGATTTTTCTCGAATTAGTGTATGAAAAAATATGATATTCGATCATTTCGTTTTTTATATATTATAATGAACATATGAGGCATTGAAAAATGAATTTTTGAACTCAAATTCACTTACTATTTTATCAAAACAAACACGAGAAATGTGTTTATGAACAATAACAGCTGACTCACTGTACACACAGAAGGTAAATAAGCGAAACTTGTATAATATCCCGAGAGATAGTGCTACCTATATCAGTCATTGGATATAAAGGTCCCTCGCGTCTGATGTGGTGTATAAATGGAATGATAGGTGTCGCCTCAATTTACTATTGGCACGAAAAGTACATGTTCGTTTTAACGACCATGGTGACCGAAAGGGTTAAACACTCACTCTTGCCATAGGGCGTTGAGAATTAGAGGCTGAAAAAATTGAAAAAGTTACAGAACGATCGATTTTGGAAAATTGTTTGTGTCCGGTGTATTTGCCAGTGAGTGTATACAGGATAATTCATGTGGAATGCCACAAAACCAAATGGAGGAAAGAGGAAATCAAGACGAGTTGATTTATGTATATAATATTTTTGGCAATCTATAAAGAAATTGTCATAAAACTTTGATGATCGATATTTCAGAAATGATGCAATATGAAAAAAAATCAGATCAAAAAAGTTCACTTAGTGATCACTTTTCTCGAAAAATTTATCGAATTCAGAAAGATCAATGAGGAAAAAACTTACCTGAGTAATAAATAAGGAGGAGTGTCTCATGAATCATCCTGTATTTACCCGCCAGATTTCATCTCAATCGGTCACAGGAAGTGCGGGAAAATTCGATCACAAAATGTTTAGAGAATAGACAGATAAGGAAGCAATCTGAAAAAAAGACAGTAAAAATGATATGCTTTGGCATAACTCAAATCAACAAATTTCAGATTATTAGTGATTGGACCAACTTCAATAACCCAGGAAAACGGTATCAAAATCCAGTAGTCCAGTTCTTTGGGGTGGTGAATCAGAATCTGTAATTATCCAACAAAATTTCTTGGTGTGTTTGGAGATATTCGCAAAAAACAACGAAATTTTCGACCTTTTTCAAAAATATGGTCATTAGTCAGTTTACCAAAACATGGTATAAACGTGGCCATTGGGAAAAGATCCTAAAACGAAAATTGTTACGAGTGAAGATGTAGTATATCTTTTCAGCTCCAATTCCTATACAGAGCGAGTGAATCGAATGATTGACACATAGTATGCAAAAAAAAATTAAAAAAAAATTTTGGTAAGATTCCACCTGAACCATTTTTCTAACTTGAAAACTTTCAAGTTCTTCCATGAATTCTCAAGTTCTTCCATGAATTCACTTCACTTGTGTTTTATATGTGTGATTTTGGATATACCGAGAAATTATCAAGGATTTATGACATGATTAGGCGCATGAAACTTTGTTCAAAAAGTTCTTGTTCAGACGCGCATAACGAATGGTCAAGCATTCCAGAAGGCCGTGGTTGCGGCTTCACATCAAATCAAAATATGATTCATTAGTTGTAAGAAGAGTAATCTCTTTGACAAAGCATCAAAGGTGCCATTAAAAAGAAATATAAAGTAATGTTATTTAAAAATACAATCCTTAATATACCTATGTAGGTAGTTATTATAAATATAAAACTTGTCAGAAATAAATAAAAGCAGAACAATATCACATAGAAGTAAAACAGATTATAAGACATCACAGAAATATTCACTAATATCATAGTGAACTATTCGTTAGAAAAAAATGTGAAGGATCAAATATGAAGGGTTGATTACAGGTGCGATTGATTTACAGATTTTCATGTTTACCTTGAACTGGTGCCTGATCTTTGTCATCTGGATCTTCTTCCTCTTCCAGTTAATATAGCGATGAACATTCCTGCAGGATGCTTCGCATAGTTCATTAAAACAGTATAGCCCAGCCTTCTTAAACCCGCACATTGCCGTTGCCCTTTTTTGCACTTCCATGCAACCAGTTGAAGGAGCTTGTCAGGTGCAAGGGGCTGCTTGAAAGTAGTTGCCTGTAGGCCGTTGCTTGTTTGATCCAGCCTAACTTTTCTGGCTCTTCCCATGGAATCCATCCATAGCTGCACATGCACAGAATCACTCAGAAAATGTGTTGGTTTGCTGCAGCTCTGGTTGGGGTAAGAGTGTCCATATTTTATGAGTATTTATAAGCTATAGACGGATAACATTTTTACCTCAGCTCATCTAGGTGCCTTGCTACATATTTCTCACCAGCTGATGGAACCTTCCTCTTCCTGGTTTGAATAAGTAGACGTAGGCTGGAGCTGACTATCCTATCAACATTACAAGGAGATCAGCATCCTTCCCTATTACTGCCACTGTATTGTGACCAGATGATAATTATATGGCTGTGGTAACAGTCATTCTGGTAGCATCAGCATACTGATAAATATCCAATCCAATCAGTATAGTATGAAACACTAGTATAGTAAATTCATGGAAGAAGCACGAAGTTTTCAAGTCTTGGAGAGAGGTTCACATGGAATCTTACAAATACTCGCATCGTTCTGTATGATAATTGAGGCTGAAAAGTTTTACTATACCTTCACTCTCGACCATTTTTCGCGTAGGATCAGTATTTTCCCCAATATTTAGCTCACATACGAAATAGCCACAATGCTCAAAGTGGAATGAGATGTTAAATACAAAAGTTCAAAGTTATATCCACACAATGTTCATAATATCAACAACAATGGTAGATTTCGGGAGAAAAACAACTACTTTTCTGGCTAATGCCACGCAGAACATTGAATTATATCCTCCCGAAATCTATGCATTGACTCGTATAAACGAATACTGTTACAAGTGATTCTTTCCTGAAAGCCTATTAATTTAGCTAGGCCACGCTAGACACCTACAGACCGGTTTCGAGCTATTTGACTCTAATCAGTGCAGGACAGTCACCAGATGGCGTTGATTTCATATTGTCTATGAAAGATGCCTCTGGGGGAATAAAATGCCGGCTAGGCTACGCTTAGTCGGCGGTCTTAGGACTGCTGGCAGCAGACTGCGCTGCACTGATGGGATTCAAAGAGCTCGAAACCGGTCTCTAGGTATCTAGCGTGGCCTGGCTAAATCGAAATCAATAGGCATTCAGGAAATAATCACTTGTATCAGTATTCGTGTATACGAGTCGATGCATAGATTTCGGAAGGATGTAATTCAATGTTCTGCGTGGCATTAGCAAGGAAAGTAGTTGTTTTTGTCCCGAAATCTACCATTGTTGTTCATTTTATGAACATTTTGTAGGTATGACTTTGGGCTTTTTGTATTTGTTTTGTTCGAGTAAATATTTATTATTGGCTTGGGTAAAATTGTATGGAACCATTTATTTAAGTATGAATATTTTTTCGCGCTAAGAAAGCAGCTCACTCCAATTATTCGCGCATGTTAATTGGTGTCGTCTACCTGTGCGCAGCAGGACAAAATTTCTCTCTCATTCGATTTGCTACCATCCTGCTTATCATGTGCTTATCATCGTTATAACCGCTCACAAGTGTATCCTAGGGTCCCTTGATGTAAATTGACGTTAAAGTCGTCTTAACAGGGTACGGACAGATCATAGCTGCATTCTTTTTCAATGATCTAGAGACTTCAGTTTTGTCTACTGGCATCCCTGACATTGCTTTCACGTCACATCCATGGGCGCTACAGAAAATGATTCAAAATTCTAATAACAGGTATGTACAAGGTATTTACTTGTTGAGGAATATCATAAGACGAACGATTTTTGTAATTATGATCCGATTCTATTCAAAATGCGAAGGTATCTGGCATTTTTCGGGGTTGGAGATAATGATTGTTTCGTCAATTTGGACAATTAAATATTACGGATCCAATATATAGCGAAAGAAATTTCTAATTATGATCTGATTCTAGTATCTGAGGGTTTTCGGGGTCGAACTTTATGATTTTTGTCAAAATTGGGAAATTCAAGATAGCGGATCCAATATGGCGAACGAATTTTTCAATTATGATCCGATTCTATTGAAAAATCAGAATTGGAATCTGAGGCTTCCTGGGGTCGGAGACTATAATTATTTTGTCAAAATTGGAATAATCAAGAATGCGAATTCAATATGATGGACGAGTTCTGTAACGAAGATCCGATTCTATTCAAAAATTGGTATCTGGGGGTTTTCCCAGTAGGAGATAATGATTGTTTTGCCAAAATATGAAAATTCAAGATGACGGATCCAATATGGCGAAGGACATTGGTTTTTATAATTATTACTCTTCCACAAATGGAAAATATGTAGGATGCAAGAGTAAAAATAACGTGCATATAAGTTATACTGCGTATACCTTCTTCTTTGTTACTTTCATCAATGAATTATTCGAATATGACTTTGTATTTAAGGTTAACGAAAAAATCATATGTATAACATGGGGGTAAAGTATATTCTATTCTTCATTTTCCTGCATATTTCACGTATTACCTTTAATCATCCTACTTTTCGTCCTAGACGAAGTTTTATACATAGTGTGATATTAGTCACACCATAAATTCTTCCCCGAGTTGGATTTCCGAAAATATATTTAGCACACATGACATGAGTTCAGTAGTTTAGATACCCACATCATGGTTTCCACCATTTCTCAATCATAAAGCGGCGTTCACAACCAAAATTTTTACGTTTTCCTTTTCACGTTTCGTATTCTGATTGGTGAAGCAAAATCTGTAATCAAAATGACGCAAAAAGCTGCAAATATTCAGCTTTTTGCGTTGCAAGAAGCCATCGTCTGTAAAAATAGTAAAAATAGACGAATAATATGGAACATTCTGTAATAATATGGAATTTATGATAATGTTTTCATGATTTTTTGTGAATCCACAGAATAGTAGATAGGTATACTGTTCAATTCATTATTTCCTTGTTGAAGATTGATTTTTCTCTTCAAGTATTGAATAAAACGATCAATTTCCTTCACCGCCAGTTCTATGAATATTATTAATTATCTGATCAATATTATTGTTATGATTATTTAATTCATTTCAGTTTAAAAATCAAATAATAAAACCAAGGCAACTGAGTCATAAAAAGTCACGTTGATTTTGTTGTTGTTGTGAATGACATTTGCAAAGGTTTGTTTCACCTTTAATTTCTGATTCTGCTTCACCAATCAAAATACGACACGTTAAAAGCAAAACGTGAAAAGTTTGGTCGTGAACGCCGCTTTAGGCTCAGCTCATTCAGCTTATAGATAAAAAACTGCTCATCTTGAAATCAAAATTCATCCAGTCAATTCAGTCAACCCTGGTATGCAGTCCAAGAACAGTCTCTTTTGGTGGAATTAATCAAGCTTTCAGTACAATTCATATGTTCACTACTTCGAAAATAATATGCTGGAGTAGTGAACTCTAAAACTAGAGGATTGTTCATCTATATCTTGGTATAGTTGAATCAGGAATTCGATATGGAAATTACGTATGATACGCCAGTGACCTCAATATAACCTGAAAAACAACTAATGTCAAAAATCTGATGTTTATCCCCAAAATTGAATAAGGATGGAACTATATAACTGTTTCACAAACACTTTAGAGTGAGAGGCGACGAGGATCTGTCCGTACCCTGTTAAGACGACTTTAACGTCAATTTCCATCAAGGGACCCTAGTGTATCCTACCCCGGGGATGTTCAAAAAGAGCAATTTGCTAGAAAACCACCTGCTTCAGCTTCAATCATCATTTTTCTGCCTTACATCATATCCTGACCAGGAACACCGCAGCCAGCTGGCTATTACACCATACCTGCATACACCCCATGGAATCATCAGGTGAGTGCAGTTGCTTTCTCGTATCAAAAATCTAATTTTATATGGTCTATGCGATTTGAACCTGCCTAAGAAAATACAGTCCACTCAAATATCGAACATATGTATTTAAAATTCAAAATATTATTTTTGTAAAAATTCACCCTTATTTATAAAATGGCGTATCTCGAAAACCATTACACCTAAATTGCTGCTTTTATGCTCAAATTGTGACAAAGGACCCTGCACGAAAACACGGGAAATTGGCTCTCGGTCGAATTGGCTGAAATTATACTATATTGTTGTGGGATGGCTCACTAGGAAAATCTGTAAGTTTAAAATGTTTTGTATGTTTAGTTTCTGAGATATAAGCCGACAAAGTTCGTAAAAACGTCGTATCGGGGTAGGATTGACAAAGAAAAAAAACTGTTTTTTTAGTATCAATAAGACACAATAAGCTAGAAAATGTATTGATCAGAACTCAAATGAATGTCTAGTTATGAACACATAAATTATAGTAAATCAGGGTGCATACGAGGCACGGTCAAAAAATTCATTTTTCGGAAAAAAAATTCGAGCACTATTCCAAAACCAATAAGTTATATTTTGGTGGGACATCATAGTTCTAGTCTATTGTAGGCTTCGAAAACGTATTTTGATTCTTGATAACTATCTCAGTTCGAGATATGAACTTTTAGAATTTTGTGTTACCCCCCTTTTTGAAAACAATTGACAGCTTGTTTTTGATCACAAAGAAAGGGATTGATTGATACTGTTGATTGAATGAAAGCTGATGTGACTCACTAGCGAATTCAGTTGTTCAATATTGCCTTTCATTCAGATACAGGGTGTGTTAGATTTTGTTGGAGATTATTTAACATGTTTCAATTGAATATTTCGAAAACAGTCCCGTTAATTTGGATATCATTTTACTGACACTATTTTGAATATGTTGACTATCATATGTGAAAAGTTTTTCAATTTTTTATGTTTCGTTTCTGAGATATCATTTTCACAGTATTTATTATATTACAGGTATTATAGGGTTATTACCTTGGATATTACTATCGATTCAACAGAACTTTACGGAATCTTTCGAACATTCAATTCAGTTATGAAACAATTAGAAATCAATAATTTGTAACTATAAACAACACTAACCACATTGAAAAACAATATGAAACTCAACAGTATGGATTCCGTAAAGTTCTGTTGAATCGATAGTAATATCCGAGGTAATAACCCTATATTACCTGTTATTCTGTAAACTCAAAAATGCATATCTCAGAAACAAAACATAAAAAATTTAAAGACTTTTTGCATATGATAGTCAACATATTCAGAATAGTGTGAGTAAAATGAGATCCAAATTAACGGAACTGTTTTCGAGATATTCAATTGAAACATTTTACATAATCTCCAACAAAATCTAACACACCCTGTATCTAAATGAAAAGCAATATTGAACAACTGAATTCGCTAGTAAGTAAACTCAGCTTTCAATAAATCAACAGTATCAATCAATCCCTTTTTCTGTGATCAAAAGCAAGCTGTCCATTGTTTTCCTAAAGGGGTATAACACAAAATTCAAAAAATTCATATTTCGAACAGAGATAGTTATCAAGAATGAAAATACGTTTTCGAAGCCTACAATAGACTGAAACTATAATGTCTCACCAAAATATAACTTGTTAGTTTTGGAATAGTGCTCGAATTTTTTTTTCGAAAAATGAATTTTTTGACCGTGCCTCGTATACACCCTGATTTATTATAATTTATGGGATCATAACTAGACATGTATTTGAGTTCCGATCAATACATTTTCTAGCTTATTTTGTCTTATTTATACTAAAAAAACAGTTTTTTTCTTTGTCAATCCTACCCCGATACGACGTTTTTACGAACTTTGTCGGCTTATATCTCAGAAACTAAACATACAAAACTTTTCAAACTCACATATTTTTCTAATGAGCCATCTCGACCGAGAGCCAATTTCCCGTGTTTTCGTGCGGGGTCCTTTAGTCTTCTTTAAATATTGTATGATTTGTTTTTTTTGCTACATACACAACAACAAAATTTCACCGTTTTTTGCGAATAACTCAAAACGCACCAGTTGTTGGATAACGCCTGAACGATGATTAAATCGACTACTATATTTCTTCACCAGGAAACTACCATTTGCCTAAATTATGAAAGAAAGAGCCCAAGCAGTGCTTTCGTTACCATTGAATATAAAAAAATCGAAAAATACCGTTGAATTGTTTTGTAGGAAGCTGAATCTTTCGCCAACGCCCAAAACTTCGAAACCAAAGACCTGGAAGAAATCGCCCTCAGAATCTGCAGGCTACCCAAACAAAACGAGAACAGGCCGAGAATCGTGATCATCACGCAGGGCACGGAACCTGTTATTCTAGCCAAAGAGGGGAACATAACCAAATACCCAGTAACCAAACTAACCCAAGAAAAACTAGTCGATACCAACGGCGCGGGGGATGCTTTTGCCGGAGGATTTTTATCTCAATATATACAGGGTCGAGAGTTGGATGTTTGTATAAAGTGTGGTATTTGGGCGGCCACGCAAATTATACAACGTAATGGTTGTACGTTCGAGGGTAGAGCTACCTTTGAGGCGTAATGCTAGTTGAATGACCTGCTCTGTCTCTGTAAATAACGTACTTACACATTCATATGTTTTCATGACTTAATATTTTAATTCCATATTAGGAAAATCTGATATTAAATTGTTGAAACTGTTTCATGTTTGTTTTTTTCACGGGAGCTTTATTTTCCGCAGTTCTTTTTGTCCTCTGATATATTTCTTCCCCTGTCCATTGCCTTTCTGAATTTGGAATCCTAGTTAGTAGGCTCTCAGCAAACCAGAGCTAAAGCTTATCACATGCTTTCTCACAGGACACGGCCCTCTGAGGTAGCACCTCAAAAAGATGGGCCTGGCGGAGACTGACACTTGCCGCTTTTGTAACAATGCGACCGAAACCGCGGAACACATACTTTGCTCATGTGAAGTATTAGTCCGCCAAAGGCTGAACCACCTATAGAACAGGTCTATCACCCCTGCTGAGGTGGAAAATTCAACCGTCAGGAAAATTGTAGGCTTCATTAGAAGTCTAGAGTTAGAGGACCAAAACTTGATAGGGGTAATCACAATAGATCTTCTAGGTCGCAGTGATCGAGAGGTCTCCGAGCCTATACGACCCATCTACAATCTATAGTAGGCGAGAGGTTTCATTGTTTGTTAATTGACCTAAAATTTGTTTGCCAGTCTATATGGCCCTAGTTTACTGACAATATCGAGAGCACATTTGTTTCAATAGAATATTTGTCAAAATGGACAATTTTAGGTTGAAGTTCTTGACACGTCATCTCAGACAAATCATAATTTTAATTTGATAGTCTGATTTGCACTTCTACAATAAGAGGTGGAGGTATGTTCTTGAGTACCTATGTGAGTTTTTTTCAACATTCCTTTCCCAACGATGATGTAAATAATAAGCAGTTCCTACCCTTTTATTCTTATAGCTTGCATAACATCATATAACATCATTTTGATAATCGTACTCAAATTCAAATAATCTCAATGATTCGAGCATTTTATCATTGCACGAATAATAACCGTTTTTTTATGCAACCTGTCTTCCCTATTTGTGTAATTACTTGAAATGTTAATACAGTACGTGTGACCCACTTCTAATGGAAACACACCTGTATCGTACGTAATCGTTGGGTATAAGGATCCTGGAATTTGATGGAGCGAGAGATATATATACCAAAAATGCATTTTATGACCAAGTGGGGTCATATGATGTGGATTGGAGTTTCGTCGTTTTCGAGACATAAACGGCACGTTGGGTCATCGGAGATTCCCAGAAGGCGGCAGTGTCCATTTAGTAAACCAGTGACAACTCTGCATTGGCTTCTTCGCATATTCGGGAGGGATTGGGTGAGACGTATCAATGAAGGTCTGCCTCATACCCCTGGATTCAATCCATTCCCGACAAAACCTCTCTGTCAGAAGTTCTTCAAGTTTTCGTAGTCCTGTGCAGAGAGGAATGCTCACGATGGGTTCTGGGCCTCTGGGCCCGCAGGACGGGCTGAACAACCTTGCCTTGCTAGAGCATCGGCTCTTTCGTTGCCATCTATGCCACTATGTCCCGGAACTCAAAGTAGTTCGATACGGTTTTCCCTTGCTACCCCAGCAAGGTTCCGTTTGCAATATAAAACCAACCGAGAGACCACTCTTGGTTCTAAAAAAAAATTGTTCTAAAATTGTTCTATCCGTCATTCGGCTTACGAGCAACCCTCAGAAGTCTTCGAAAGTCTTGTGCGAGCAAGGAATGACGGGGGCCTTACCTTTTAACGTGTGATCCCAAACACTTTCTTAGGCCATCAGAAAAAGTCTGCGTTCGTGGGACTCGAACCCACGATCGTTACCTCGACGTGAATCGATATTGAAGCATCGAAGCACTGAGGTACGCCGGCCGGCTGGTGCTCGTAGAGCTTTGAGAGCGGCCTGACTGTCGGAGCAGATGGAGATGCGCTTGCCTCTTATGTGGCGTCGTGTGATTTCTTAAGTGCAGGCAAGGATGGCGAAAACCTCAGCCTCGAATACAGTGGCAAATTGTCCAAGGTGTTGAAACTATTCGTAGTCTTGGTTCTGCCCGTATACGCACCATCAGTGAGATTCCCAGCACGAGACCCATCCGTGAACCAGGTGAGTCCGGTGCTTGGAATCAGGGTGTGTGGTTCGGTTAGCCACTCGTCTATCATGAAGGGTAAATTTGACAGACGAGATAAATTCATGATGCGGCGTAATAATGAGGTCTTGCACCATGGTTAGAACAGGACAGGCTAAGGTAGCTTTTGTCCAGATCTTGGCATGACCTGTGTTGCAGCGATAACCAGCGAGATAACCAATCCACTGATTGGCGCAGTTGAGTCTATACGCCGCTTTCGTGGCTTTGTGCTCGATCACTAAGTGCAATGGTGGTCCCCACGAGTACCCCAAGGGCTGCCGTAGGTGCCGTTCTCATTGCACCCGTAATGCCTACGCACGCGAGGCGTTGCATGTGCTCCAAGGACCGTCCCGCCAACCTATGATAGATAGATAGATAGATAGATATTTATTCATCATTGAAGTTTACACATATAGTTACATATAAACTTATCAGACTAGTCAAGTTCCATTCTCTCTCCCCATTCACAAAACAAAACACTGTATACATACATTTCCATTCAATCTCTCACACATACATAAATGTAAATAGAATAATTCGATCATCTCGAAGTTAGATACTCCTCAATGGAATAAAATGCATTTTGACATAAATAATTGAATATTGTTGTTTTGAAAGTATTGAAATTTTTTATCTCACCAAAAATATTGTTGAAATGATTAAAACATAATATTCCTTGATATATAGGAGAGTTCTGTCCAACAGTAAGCCTTGGACACCACACAATTGACGCGTACGTGATAATAGGTCTTATCATGGTCGTGTAGATCCAATGTAAGACTTTCGGTTGGAGACCCCACTTGGTGCTTAAGGCTCGCCTGCATACCCAGAATGTTGCAGAGGCCTGCTTTATACGGGTCTCCAAGTGTTCTCTCCATATATAGTAGTTTGGTGTCCAAGATAACTCCTAGGTACAGGGTGATTCACCATAAATGTCCCCCCCTCTAGCTCACTAATTTTTGAACCGATTCAAAAATTTGAAAGATAATTTGAAATTATTTTTCAGAATTTTTTTTCTCGTTGCATCAGAAAATACAGGGTGCTCGGAACAAATGATCTACAGAGTACAATCCTCGATTTTTTCAAATGGAACACCCTGTATTTCATTGTATTTTTATATTCTTCCTGAAGAGCTGATTTCATCAATGTATCACACTTGGGGTCTAGCGGGAATGATAACAGAGATATAGGGTGGTCAAATCGAGATTTTTCAAGTTTAGGATTTGTTTGTCTCGAAACTATTCATTATTGGTCGAAACGGCTTCTATGTTTCCATCTTAACTTTTGATTTACTGTCTACTGACATTTAATTGGAACATTGACAGGGTGGTTCAAGATTCAGAATTCTGATAACCCTGTATCTGTTCCAATTATTAAATGTCAGTAGATAGTCAATCAAAAGTTAAGGTATGGACATGAAAGCCGTTTTGACACCCTATATCTCTGTAATCAGTCCCGCTAGACCCCAAGTGTGATACATCGACCAAATCAGCTCTTCAGGGAGAATCTAAAAATACAATGAAAAATAGGGTGTTCCATATAAAAACATCAAATAGTACCCTGTAGATCGTTTGTTCCGAGCACCCTGTATTTTCTGACGTAGCGGAAAAAAAACTTCAAGATTATATTTCAAATTTTGAAATCGGTTCAAAAATAACTGAGCCAGAGGGGGGGACATTTATGGTGAATCACCCTGTACTTAACGCTATTGGAGATGGATAGGGCATATAGGGTGGCGTCGGCAATGCTTAGGAGCCACGCGAAGCGAGCAGTGCGTCTCCTGGTGAAGGGAACAACTGCAGTCTTCGCAGGGTTAACTCCAAGACCCTGCCGTTCGCACCAGTTGTATATAAGATTGAGTGCTCGTTGAGCAAGGTTGTATACCGGGTGCTCAAACTGACCCTCAACAAGAACTGCGATGTCATCCGCATGTCATTACCATATACGACTCATGGTGCTTGTTAATAATTAGGGTCACTTCAATATGAAGACCCTTTTCGTTCAGGTTCTTGAAGATTACTCTTCCGATCCCTGTTCTCGTCAAGTAAATTGAATGTGATCAGTAGTGAATTACCAACCAATAACTAATCACTTACTACATAGTAATTTTTAATCATTGCATTCCTTGCATTATTTCACATAGGATCAAAGATTCAAGGATTTTATAAAAATCTGACAAGAGCGGAGTGATTTCCAGCAGTCAGAACTCCAACCAATCAAATTGCGTGAAGACACTGATATCAGTATAGCGTTTCAATTCATTTGTCGTTCGATTTTCATAAAAAATATGTGATGGTGGGAACACCCAAAACGTCAGAATATAATGCATCAAAATATAATTTATAAGAATATATTTCATCAGAATGGTAATTCGACGGTACCGTAATTGATAGTTACTGTATTCTGTAAGCACGTTTTTCATCGCTTTGTAAAACATAGCTCCGTAATTTGTAGGTATGTATTATAACAAAACGTGATTCGTCAAAATGTAATCCATCAAAATGGTATTCGATAAGAACCGTATTTGATCATAACAGTAATTCATCAGAACAGTATTTCATCATCACGGTAATTTATCATAATCTAATTCTATCGTTAGGGTATTCTATCAGAACCGTAATTCGTCGCTTCAGTAAAACATCAGAATCATAATTCATCAAAATCGTATCGTATAGGAACTGTATTCCATCGTCACATCAATTCATCGGCACTGTATTTTATAGTTTCAGTAATCCATCGGAACCGTATTCCATCGGAACTGTATTCTATCAGAAACAGATTTCATCAACACTGTATTTCATCAGAACCGTATTCCATCATCACCGTATTTCGTCAGAACCGTATTTCGTCAGAACCGTATTTCGTCAAAACCGTATTCTATCAGAATCGTATTTCATCAGTACAGCATTCTGTGAATACACTAAATATCCAATTATTACAGATAACTTCATCACAGTTAGATGCACAGAATATTTGTGTTAGTACCGCCGAATGCATATAGATGC